TTTACTATCTGTATCACGTATTGCTGTGTAGTGCAGCCCAGCACTCTGGATTTTGAATACCGCTCGTAGACATGCACTGGCAAAACATTTGTTTAGTTTTGTTTCGTTTTGATTTGGATTGTACGTTATTTAGTTTTTTTCGGGATTCGGACGAAATTCGTTAGCGGTAGTCTGTACGAATTTTCGTTTGCGGAGGAATGTTCGTTGCAGCAAAGTGACATTAAAAAAAATATATTTTTAATGCCACTTTGCTGCAACGAAAATTCATCCACAAACGAAAATTCGTACAGACTACCGCTAACAAATTTCGGCCGAAATTTTGTTTTCGGAAATTGCGATTCATTTTCATTTGTCATTTCTGTTATTCGGAAATCCGGATACATCCAAATAATGAAAATTCATCCGAAAAACAAATTTTTCCCGAAACTAATTGCACATGTCTAATCGCTCGCAAATGGCGAGCACTCATTGGTCAGCGTGAAAAAAAATCGAATGTTTCCGAAAATAATATTTTTCGAATGAACATCTACTGACCAGCTTTAGACGTAGGCATATGATTGGCTTTGTTTATCAATGAACCCATTGAGCAGTGCTTTGTTAGAAGACCGACCCATGTGATCTTTTTCCTTTCGGTCAAATATTTGGCTGAACAATCCGCATGACGAAATTTTAGAATATTTTCTTATAAATTTTTTACCAAAGGCAAAAAATGTGTCACTTTGTTGTGAAATGGATTTCGGGGAAATCGCTCCACCCATCTCATTTCATAGAAATATACATGGTGATGGGTGCCGTAACTTTATCCTTTGCTGGTTGTCAGTGGGAATCTTTCAGCTTCCAAAATCCCTCTGTGTGTATATATTGTAACTCCCAGTTATTGCTCAACTGGGAAAACCAGTTATCCTTGTTTGCAGCAAATGTTGTTTGCACACATTTTTTATGTGCCCTGTTGTAATTTCTGATTCTGTTCTTGTCCTATTGGGAATTTTTGGTATTCCTGCCCCCCCTTCCTGTTACATGCTCCGTAATATGAAGTATACAAAATATCCAGCAGGTATGGTGGTCAGTTGGTTGAGGGATGCGTTATGTTGTAAGGCCACAGGTGACCGTGTGCACGAGCCCAATGGCTCCGCTTATATCTCTGAGCTGCAAGAACACAGGCAAAATTGTGCTTTTCTTATTGTAGGTGTGCTGGGGTGTCATTCATTCTTAATGGCATCCCAATGCACCTTGCTAGTGCAATAAATTATTACCATACATTGTAGTAATAATAAAAGTACATGCACTGCTTTGGTGCAAATGAGCTGCCCTAATGCAACACACGTTAACGCATGTTTAAAAAAAAAAAAAAAGCTTAAACTACAGCAATCCTTAGCTGCCAGCCTGCCAATAACACAAGCATCAAGTGGTTGCCAGCATGACAATGCTGAACATTATACTGAGCTGAATCCTCTCTCTGTAGCTCATTGTGGCTGTCAGACCTTTCCGAAAGATCATTTAAATGGCATGGGACGCATGCAATAGCTGGTCATGTGACCCGTTTGAGAAGTGATGCATGTGTCTGATTATGTCTGCAATTTCCTGCTTTCTTTGTGCATTTTAATGCTGAACATTATACAGAGCTGAATCCTCTCTCTCTGCAGCTCATTGTGACTGTCAGATCTTTCCGAAGGATCCTTCCAATGGCATGGGATGCATGCAATAGCTGGCCATGTGATACATTTGAGCAGTGGTGTATGTGTCTGATCGTGTCTGCAATATCCTGCATTCTTTGTGCGTTTTAATGCCGAACATTATTCTGAGCTGAATCCTCTCTCTGCAGCTCATTGTGACTGTCAGACCTTTCCGAAGGATCGTTCCAATGGCATGGAACGCTTGCAATAGCTGGTCATGTGACACGTTTGAGTAGTGGTATATGTGTCTGCATTTTCCTGCTTTCTTTATGCGTTTTATTTGCACATTTTTGATGTGCGTTTTAGTGCATTTTTATGTTTAGCCAATACAAGTCAAACGAAAGCACTAAGAGCTCCACCTATTGGCTAGAAATGAGAATACAAAATATGCAAATTATGTTTATCTGTCTAAAAAAAAAAATATAATGTCAGTTTGGTTGATTTTATTATCTCAGCAGTAAATCTTCCCTACGGATGAGGGAGTTCCTGTACATACAGCACAGAATTGATCATTTTTGCTTTTTTTTTTCCTGTTCATGCTTGCAGCGTTTCCCCCCCTTTATATGAGAAAACTAATAATTAACATGGCCGAAATGGCTGCAGACAGAGCCAAGGAGATCCCTGAAAATGGAGCCAAGAAGAAGAGGAAAAAGTGGTACAAGAGAGTCATGAACACAATAATCCCGACAGCGTGTCGCATGCGGAGTTCTGACCTTCCGGAGGATATAGAGATAACAGGTAAGATGTGCGCTCTGACGGTAACATTTTTGTGGAACTCCAGACAAAATGTTATTGGGGATGGGATAGAAGAGGTGTCACCGCTGGGGAGATTTCCCCTCACTTCCTGCTGTGTCACCAGGACCAGAAGCACGGTTGTTAAAGCAATCAGATTAAGTGTAAATAATGTTATTCAAAGGCTGTTAACGCTTTAAAGCTTGATTTGTCAGATTATTCATAAATATGGAGGGCGGGGGGGCAGGCAGGCAGCCATTGCTGATTAGGTATGCTGGTTCTGCTTTCTAGTAATGAACAGTGATTGTGCCCTGCTGTTCCACTTACCTCACTGCGAGTCTACTAGACAGGGTCTGTCTGAATGCAAGTGACTCTGTGCAGACCAATGACATGCAACGACCACAATGCTGTCGGTAGCCAGAGACATGTGATCTTTACTTAGCTTTTTTCATTAAGATGAGACAGACTTCAAGCCAGAGGTAGGCAACCTCAACACGCCAGCTGTGGCAATACTACATACCCCATCATGCCTATGTTTCTGGGAGTCAAACCTGTGGTTGTCGTCATGCCAGTGCCTCATGGGATGTGTAGTTCCGCAAGAGTCGGGGTGCCAAGGTGGCCTACCCTTGTAAGTTTTGTGTGCGAAATAATATTGTGATCTGGTAATGATATGTACCGTGTGAATTGTAAAGTCCTATTGAAGTCAGGGAAGTAGGCAATTGGCCCAGACTTTGTACTCACAACCTCCATTTTCCTGTTACAGCAGTTGTGTAGGGAGTTAAAATAGGACTTTTCAGTTTAACGGGTGCCAGATTTAGCCCTAGTGCACTAAATAATTAGCACTCAGTAACAGACCTAATCAGACACACCCCCTCTACTTAGTAATCACTCTAAGTGAAAGCCCAAACATCGCCCCTCCCCTTTTCTGCAATAGAAGCCTATGTAAGGACATTTGTGATGATGGGTGTGGCTGTTACTCAGCTCTGCCAGTACACAGCACTGCAGTGTGAGGGCCAGGAAGCAGCGAAAATGGGTATTTAAAAGTGAATATTATGACAAGCAAGGATTCGGGAGAATAAAGAGACAAATAGGTGTGAGGGATATAATTACAGATCCACTTTAATATTTTCGGTGCTGTTGTCTCTTTAGCTGAAGACATTCAAAAGCTGATAGAGGACCAGCAATACCAGAACGCCAGCCAAAGGTTGATCAAGTTGGAACACAAAATTTTCAGTAAATCGGAAGAGCCAACATCGGAAGAGAAGAAGGAGCTGGGCTCTCTATATGAGAAACTGAAGGCTGCAGTATTTCAAGTCATAAAAGAGTCCCTCACCAGCACGGACGAGGAATCGCTGCAGCAGGCTGTTCAGGCTATAGTAGAGCAAGAAACAGAAGATTCACAGCTTAAACCAGACTTGAACAATAGCAACAGGTCACGGCCGGGGAGGTGGATGGAGGCGTGGAAGGAGTGCGTCAAGCAGAATGTGGAGGAGCGGCTCAAAAACCTACCCCAGAAGAAGAGACCAAAGGAGTCTTCTTCCTTCATCTCCGTGATAACTGATCTAGCACTGGTGTACAAGACGGACCTCATCCACGTGGTGAAAGATCTCAAGAAGTGCTACCCAGAGCAATTTGATGTCTGCAACACCTATGCCCAGCATTATCACCAGATCATGAAGATGCAGATAGAACAAATCACACAGTTTGAGATGTTAGACAAGGACAACTACATACTTCTGTGCTGGGTGCAAAACCTGTATCCAAAGTAAGCTGCTTCATATGTCATATTGTATATATATATATAGAGAGAGAGAGAGACCGACCGACCGACCGACCGACCGACCGACCGACCGACCGACTTC